ACAACGACTAAGCTATATTCACCCATAAAATTTGGTATATAGCTCCACGAGGATCATCAAAAGAGAAGTAAGAAAAATTATGAAGAATTTATGTAAATGAAAGGAGCTGTAAGTGCTTTTCTATTTTAGGTTGCTCACGCGCAACCTGGGAGCATCCTGAGGTTGCGCGGGAGCAAAGAAAGTCATAATTTACCCCCTTCCTCACATAATTTTTCCAAAATATTCACATAAATCTATTTTGTTCAAGCTCTACTTATGGGCACTCACCTTAACCCAAGTTTCAACCCCTCTGCTTCGCTACGCCCTTAATGATATCGAAAATCTTTTCTTTTTCCGCCTTCTGTGGATTTATATCTAATTTTCTAGTTCTTTCTTCACTTTTGTCCGCTCGTCGTTCGCTGCAAATTATAAGCGTAATTCGACAAAAACCAAAAAAGATTACTCGTAAATCGTTTCCAATGTTCTAAAATGCCACCTCGTGCTGGGCCCTGGTGTAGAAGCTCTTTGCAAAGAATTGGGGCAAAGCGCCATACCCTAAATATAAAATTATCCTAATCCCATGAAAATGCTCTGAAATGCCACTTGAGAATACTTCATGACGCCCTGAGTAAATATGCTAGAACAAATTTCAATTTAATTCTGTTCCTCATGCGCAGACCTTCCAAGCGATGGAAGAAAGCAGAGTATGGCAGCATTTGCAACTTCTAACATAGTCTATAATGTCCAAATGAACGGGCCACTTATAATGGGATGGGCGCGCTTGAACTAATTTTGCAGTTTTGCAGCCCAAACACTGATTTGACACTGATTGAAGCTTAATATAGCGCAAAAAATTTTTCCTGAAATTCCGTGTGGACTAGCGGATGAACTTCTCCATGCAACTTGAGACGGCAAAACTTGAAAGACCAAAATCAAAAAAGTTCTACACCCTAAGACTGCTATACTCTTGCAACAAAATGATTCTCTTTTCTATCTGGAAAGTATGAACTCTTTGTGATAAGGAGAATACTGTTCATGTGAAAGGCAACATTGATGTAACAGAGCTTCTGTTTCTATCTAATCTATTAACTCAAAACATCTAGGTGGTTTGCCACTAAGACGACAGATTTAGTAAGTCAATTTCAGTAGAAATATTACAATCCATTGACAGTCCACCCCACTTACTGCTTGATAAATGAAAAACAATCGTTTTTTTCGTGACGCAATTCTCAGAGTAAAAAGAATTAAGAAAACTTCTCTGTGAAGGTTTGCGTTCAAGGCCATTCAATCAGAAAATTCAAGTTTGTGAGCATAAGCAGCCGGCTGTCGATATACAAACTTTTGATGCTATAACTATGACATATGCTATGCGGTTTTCAAAAAATCACCGTTGCTTGAGATAACCTTTCAAAGTTCGGTAATAATATTGGATTTTCTGTTAAACTCAGCGTTTCTTATGGCTAGTAGTGGAGTTTTGCTCTAGACTTTTGATTAGAATGTTGTAGAATACCGTAACCTGTCTGTCACCTGTCTCAGCTAACAGGATTTGATAGTACCATAAACAAAACAATCTCTATTTCAAAACCATTACGAACAAACTTTATTTTCCTGAGGAAGTGCAGAAAGATCCCGTGAACTGCAGTAAAAATTCAGAATTCTACCACTTTTATTTCGCTTTGATAGTAACTGATGAAATCCACAAAGACAGTATAAAAACTTAAATTTCAGATAGAGTCAAACAAAAATCTGTACTTTGATAAGTGCGTGATTATTAATGGAATAAAGAAGTCGTCCAGGAAAATGCTAGATTCCTTCGAAAGAGCACCTCTATAGAAAAATTTAGATCAGACAAGAACGTTTTCTAATCTGATCTTCAGCCAAAAAACAAGCGGGAAATGTAGCAACATGGTTCTGACTTGCTTTTGGATGAAATGTATGAGTCCCACTTCCAGCTGTTGACTATTCCAGTTTTCTACAACCGATCGAAAACGAAATGCTGAATTCAGTTTGTTATGCATGACCAAAGTGGTGGAATGACATACAATGGTCAAAGCACTGATAAAATGTACTTGTTGCAACTTTTGAAAGATAGCTCAGCTGAAATGGACCTCATAAAATTGCTCGCAGAACGATGGTATAAAGAAGTTGAGCACACTTTATACTCTCGAATTAACATACTAAGGAAGAAAAGAAAGGAAGAGAAAGACTTTTTACTATACAAGTTTCACTACTTTAGACATTTCACGTATGTTGCGCACGCTGCTGAAGAACACTATGGATGGCTCTAATCTACGAAACTGACGGATCCTTAGTTGAAATTTTTGTCCGAACCTTGGTGTTCCTATCGATAATTTGCCATTCCCAATACTGCAGTGAACAATTAATCTCCATATCTGCATTTCCGCGATGAAATAGTTCCAAAACTCGCCTACCTAATGTACATTTCCCTAGAACTTGAGAACTTGAGGACAGCTTCCCGGACTAGCCCACACAGTTGTAGGAGCTTATACGAAAAGGCCACCAGCCTATGGAAGGGCACCAATGACGAAAATCTTCCTCGGAATCTCGTCATCCGTACTGCATTTGCAAAGCAAGCTATGCATATAAGGATAGGGAAAATATCTAACCTGTGGAGCGATGACAAGAATGCGGAAAGTCCAAGAATCTTATTACACTTCTGAGAAAATGAAAGTCTGTGGAGTTATTTAGCACAAAAAAGCTCTGTTCGCTTCTTCGTTCTCTTATGGAAAGGCTGATCACCATCGATGATCAGTCATATATGCGTGCTGAAACGACATTGGTACGTATCAAGGTCCAGATACACCAAAGTGCGTCAACAAAGATCAGCAAATGCGGATTTTAGACTTGTTTTAGTCCAGCTTGTTCAATGCAGTTAGAGTGAAAAACACTCCGATACACATCTTCTCGAGGATATACGATGGCTAGGCGATCACTGACCACTTCGCCGACACTGTTTATCGCAATGCACACTTTACCAAAGCTCATTTTCAGTGTTCTAACGTTCGCTAAGCGCAGATTGCAGGAACAAAAAGTAATCGTTTCCACACAGGACAGCTTAAAAATGGCTTTGGAACTATAATCAAATTATGTTATCGGTTTATAATCTAAACCATGTTTTGTTCAACGTTTTGTTTGAAATTTCTTTTTCTTCTTGTTCTTTGGTGCACCACGAGTGCACTGGTAAAATTACGTAATTCAAACAAATAAATTTCTATTGGGGTCAGTGCAGAAATAATGCGTGTTCTGCAAAGTTACACTTCAAAAAGCTGTAATTTCGTCAAAACCCTACATTTTTGAATGCCATTAGGAGCAGTGAATTCTTTGCAACTCAGCGCACACTTCCGGTACTGTACTACAAACAAATAGGAAACCGTGGACTGAAAAACACAAACAACTTTTTGGTAGAACTCGTACCGACAATCCTAATTTCCAAAGTTCCCCAGTATAGGTGGCAATTACCCCATCTTGTAGCCGAAGCCAGTAGAAGTGCAGGTAAAATGAACTCAAACGAAGAAAACGCAAATTTGACATCGAAAATCAATCTCGAATTGCTGGCTTTTTTGAGCCTTTTTGATAGGATCTGATGCTCACAGAAATGAGTGGAGCTTCGGCGATCGCCTTTTCTATAAAAGTTTCTGGATCACACAATAGCAGATACGAGCAGTCATGCTAAGGTATCAACTTCCCATTCCGGATGGATATAAAACGTATGATGAAATGTGCAAAATGTAGACAATTTCTATCACATTCCGCAGCTGTTCTCAAAAAATAGCATTTTTTGCGGTTGAATCCTGGCCAAGAAACTGAATGCAACATTTTGGTTTTAATCGCGGCTATTCGAACTCCTATAAATTTCAACGGATCAAACTGGATGCTTGTTCCAACCACCGTTGGAAAAGCATAAGAGATTTTGGGCGGTGTGCAAAACTAGGTCTGGAAAAATAAGCTCGATCGAAGGAAGCTGCTCGGAAAAAGAATTAGAATACTGGTCCTGCCCAACCTGATAGCATCATTCGGATGGAGCCATATTAACACATTGACGACAAAGCCGATTTTTCGATTACTGCCATTTTGGGCACGAGCCTTTTTTGCTCTGCCAAACTTGCGACCCACCCGTGGGTCGTATTGTCCGAAATGGTAGTCTTTTTGGAAGAAATTCAGAACATGTCTCCGAGAATTTCCCCACAAGGATTATCGAACGCGCTGATTACCAAAATATAATTTATTTCAGTTTTTGGCGTAATACGATAAGGTTACGGCGTGCTGATCACGATCATAGTGTCCACTTTGTTCACTACATTCTCACGGTGAGACTATGGTAGCAGTACGGTAGAATTTTCGTAGAAATCAAGAAACTGATGTTAGAAGGTGGTATCAAAACTTGAGATTATCATTTTCGTAATCAGCATGCTACAAAACCTATATATGCAAAGTTCGAGCTTCCTAGGATGAAAAATGCAAAAAATCAATAAAATCAATGAAATCGATAGTTTTTTGATGGGCTAGCGTCAGCCTCTTGCCCGCCCCGTATTACTCTTACATTAACTTGATTCTCCAGAAACTGCATCATTTTACGAAGAATTTGAGCTAAAGCTTGTGCCTTATATGTATCTACCGCATACCTACCGTAACATTACATTACAGTACCCCGAGCCCGGACCACTCTGGCTGGAGCTTCACCTAAGCGCCCCCAATCATGTGCCAGAACCCCGTAGAATTCCGTCGTAAACTGGCATAGACAGCGCTTCATGAATCTTACGACTCACCGGTGGGTCGTATTGCCCGAAATGGCAGGATACGTACGACCCACCGGTGGGTCGTATTGTCGTCAATGTGTTAAATGGCATTGTGAAAAAGAACTTCACTTCATGAACAAGCGCCAGCAAACAAAGAAGCATGAAAGGTAAAAATTACAATGATGACCATTTCTTCATAAAATGTGCAAGCAGGCACAAAAAGAATCGAGATATAGTGAGAGTATGAAGACATTCAAAACGTACCTTTGCTTGCGGTACTTCTTGTGATGGTGGTTGCTTGCCTGATATACTCAGTTCTTGTTCAAAAACAAGAGGAGTAGGGGCGGCATGTTTTCCGTGAATTACTGCAGACTCTGAATGGTGGTAGAGTTTATTTGTGTGCCTGAAAACAAAGTACAATGATAGTGAAATGACAGACCTGATATTGTTCTATTTCGACCCAATCTTGTGTTGAGAGCACGACCTGTGGACGATGGAAATTGCATCTGAGACAGAAATTGATTTCAGTATGCAAACTTGAATGAATTCCCACTGAAAAGGCTTTTGCCAATAGCAAAAGACCTGTGGAACTATTGAAGGGACACAAACACAACACATGTCTTTCATTCTGTTTAGTACTCGAACGCTGTGTCTGCTGTCATTCATTTCTTCCCTTTGTAAACACTATAGAAGCTACTGATATTGCAGAGAAAGATAATCGGCACAGATCGAATTCTCATAATGTTTATGGCTTGTCTGAGCAGTTGTCAAAATTGCGATGATTTTGTGACGGCAGAATCTTAGAGACTAAAATCAATCTTTCTGTCCATCCAGCACATGATAACAGACAATTAATGGGGACCCTTAACAAAAGTAAAGATAATTGTATGCGCAACATAATGCGCTTTTCTAAAGAGTTCTGCGAGAAAAGTGCGCGAAGATAACGGAAAATGAGAAGACGTACGAATCTTGCAAACTTTAGATAGTCTCTGATAAGCCAAACAAATCCTTCACAGAAGATTGCGCGCAAAAAGATTTTCGGCTATTATCCACTGATAGAATTCCGGGATGACCGAGCTATATGAAATGAAGAGTAAAAAGAATATAACTAGAAACAATGATGATGAATGGCAAGTTCTCAAAAACATAAAAAGAACGAGACGAATGGCCGATTACTGAAGATGAACGAACGCAAAATAAGTTAACCAATGACTGACCGCTTGAGGAAGTTGGGAGGTCGACTTCTTCTCGCTCGTGGCATCCAACCGTAAATTCGGTCGTTGCGACATCGTGGGCGTTTGTAGCTTTCGCATGTGCGTTTGCTGCGATGGTTCCATTCCCAGGGATCTGCAAAAACGCTTTACAAACACAACAATTGACAGGTATAGCATTACCAGAACTTCGTTGCGATACAAAGCTTGCAAAAAAGTAAGTCACAGAGAGAAAAACGCGTTGTTTTTGGCCAAAGCGAAGCACAACAAATAAAACGCACTATCTATTCACAGCGTAAACGATTTTGCGAGCATTCTGCACCGACAGTGCCTTGCAAGGCAGACGATCGATAACGCGACAGCAACGGAGGAGGTGCGCCCTGTCGCTACTACGTGGCCTGGCGTTGATCTTATTCGCGAATCTCCGCACGCATTTTCGGGATGGGGAGGGGGGGGGGGAGAAAAATGTCAATCTTGGTGCAAGATCATTCCTATTTAAAAAATGTTTGAAGGAAGCAAAGAGCTATTCAGTATGCTACCTGGATTGTGAAAAATGAAACGAAAAATCATCAGACTGTATTCGGAGTCTCTTTCCTTTCTACATATTCAGTCTAAATTTGCGTGTGAATAAAACAGCGAGAATTCGCTAATTCTAGAAGAACTCCGAAGAGACAGATAGGATTTCGGCCTCGGCTATCCGGGCCCCAAAACTTATTCGTGGATACACTCAAACATGGTCCAGGAGCTTATTTACTGGTCACGAAAAACATGATCTTCCCTCAGGAAAACGCCTATTATTCATTCACTGACTAGGAGACGCAAACACGATTTGCGTACGTTTATCAACAAGTTCATGAAGAGTTCTAACGCGCTTTGGGTTAAAGGCAGCGTCCAGGCAAGATCCAACCACCCAGATTAGCACATAGTTGTAAAGAGGGGCCCATGAGTGTCCGATCTGCGTCGGTCCGATCCTTTGACGTGGCCTCTAAAAGGAGATACGGGTCTGTGATACGTATCACAAACCCATTCGTATCACAAACCACACCTGAGGACGAGTGCTCACATAGGTGTGCCAACTGCATCCGTGCAGTGCAGCTCCTCAAGCTGGCATGCGATCCGAAACTCGTCCGCTCCTTGAAGAGAGGGTCCCCAGAAATCGGTTTTTGGGGGGTTTTGAACAATTTGGACTTCACAACTGTAATCAGGTCCACGGAAAGGCCCCAGAATGGCAGAAACATGTGAGGCGAAATTTTGCCCGGACGCTGCCTTTAATTACTATCAGGAATTCGTGAAAGAACGTGTTCAACCCGTGGTTTAACGAGCTCACACATGTTCTTCCACGAATCAAGACCTTATAATAACGGGCTAAGGGTTGTTTACGAGTTTGTGTGTGTGTGTGTGTGTGTGTGTGTGTGTGTGTGTGTGTGTGTGTGTGTGTGTGTGTGTGTGTGTGTGTGTGTGTGTGTGTGTGTGTGTGTGTGTGTGTGTGTGTGTGTGTGTGTGTGTGTGTGTGTGTGTGTGTGTGTGTGTGTGTGTGTGTGTGTGTGTGTGTGTGTGTGTGTGTGTGTGTGTGTGTGTGTGTGTGTGTGTGTGTGTGTGTGTGTGTGTGTGTGTGTGTGTGTGTGTGTGTGTGTGTGTGTGTGTGTGTGTGTGTGTGTGTGTGTGTGTGTGTGTGTGTGTGTGTGTGTGTGTGTGTGTGTGTGTGTGTGTGTGTGTGTGTGTGTGTGTGTGTGTGTGTGTGTGTGTGTGTGTGTGTGTGTGTGTGTGTGTGTGTGTGTGTGTGTGTGTGTGTGTGTGTGTGTGTGTGTGTGTGTGTGTGTGTGTGTGTGTGTGTGTGTGTGTGTGTGTGTGTGTGTGTGTGTGTGTGTGTGTGTGTGTGTGTGTGTGTGTGTGTGTGTGTGTCCGTCTGTTACGAAATTCGTAGAGCGTGTTCCAGCCACCGTTCTAAGCCCAAATTTCGCATAGTGCAAGCTACCTTCATGAAAGTCCAATATACAAAAGCACGAATAGATTCGTTGAGTGGATCCCTCAGAAATTGCGCACCAAACGGGTCCACCTGGCTTCTGTCCCGCAAAATTGGGTGCGTATCACCACTTTTTTGCAAAGTCGTGGATGTGTTCGGTAAGCATATGTGCAAGCGATGGACTTTAGCCCGAAAAGTGGTCAAAAGTTTACTATATAACGAAAACGGCGCCAAAAAGGATTGGTTGCGTAAATGGCCAATTTGTCAAGGTTCTAGCCAAGCATTTGAGAAGATTTTCGCACAGAGATGTATCTCGTGGTTACTATTGCCTTTATGGCGACTACCAAGCCATGACAAATTCAAAAAACCATCCAAATTTGCGTTTGTCTTCCTGCGAAAAGTTTCATCCACGCGAAATCACCGAACTCACGTGAAAAAACTTTCTAAATGCGTAGTTGTTTACATCTTATTCGTGGTAGTCGGCATAGCGCGGTGAGTTCCAGTGAGAAGATTTTACAAGCATGAGCAAGGCACATAGATAGTATAGCCAGTGCGAGCCTCTGCGAAGCAGAGGTGACGCACTGGTTCTAATAATAAATCAACCAACGCTAAAACTCTTTCATGAACTTACTAATGAAATGTAGGCAAAGCGTGTTCGCGTCTCCTAGTCAGAGAATGAATAATATCGCGTGGCTCTACTGTAGGCAGACGGTAGGGAGTCAAAGTCATAGATTTGGCTGTAATTTGTTCTAAAGGTGTTATCCGACGTGCTAATCATGAAAATCATACTCTTTTCGCATGGTGGAGCCTTTTCATGAAGTTATGCTAGGTGTACGGTATGTGGTCAAAGTCACGGATTTGCCTTAAACTTCGTCTAGAAGGGTTATTTGAGCGCTGGACATGAATGTCATATTGATTTCACAAGATAGCGCCATTTTCCTGGGTTGCGGTAGGTATACGACTGATGGGTCGAAGTTCCAAAGTTGCTCGAACTTTGCCTTGAATAGTTTGCAGTCATGCTGATTACGAATATCATGCTCTACCACCTTATAGTGGGGTTACGGTGTGCATCGTATGAAAAGACATTTCTTCGCTTTTCGGGGCAATTTAAAAGCCGCGGCTCGGTAGAATAACAACTTTGGGATATTCGTTATTCTCGATTCCCCTGGATGAGCTAAGTCCAAGACTGTGATTTGCAGCTCCAAAAGAAATCAATAACCCGCTTTTACAGACGTGAAAAGCGCGATTTGAGGGCGGACCGCGTATCTGCCCTCTAAAGCGCGATTGACTCGTGAGTGGAGATACTGTACCCACCGTACCCACGAGCCAATCGCGCTCTAGAGGGCGGATACGCCGTCCGCCCTCAAATACGCTACGTCTGGAAAAGCGGGTTATTGATATCTTTTGAAGCTGCAAAGCACAGTCTTGGACTTCGCTCATCCAGGGGAACGAGAATGACGAATATCCCAAAGTTGTCATTCTGCCGAGCCGCTGCCTTTAAATCGCAAATGTCCACGAAAGCCTTTGTTATGCAATATGAGCATGAAATTTGAGATCAGCACATCATATGCCCCCTGCACAGAGGTTTGGGGCAGGTCTCTGATTTTGGCCTCCTACCATACCCTACCGTAGTCCGCAAAAAAAATCCCCAAACGCAAGGAGAATATGATATTTGTGACCAGCATGCCGCATACAGTCGTTTTTAATAAGTATTGGTCTTTTCTACCGTATACCCTCCAGCCTCAACATGACATGGATTGGTGAGGCACTGCATCGCTTTGGGGCGCCACGTTGCTTTTCTGCCACGCCACGCCAAACGAGCGTCCTGGCGCAGGCCCGAGGCGAGGCGGCGTCTCACCAATCCACGTCATGCTGAGACTGTAAGGTATACGTTAGACATCAATACGTATTGAAAACGACTGTATACCTCCCTCAGGCCAAGACTCAGCGAAATTGGTGTGATAATCGGCATCATTGGGTCAAACAGCCTTCCTGAAACAAGTTTGAACGGAATCCAAGCCAGAAAAATTTTGGAGCCGGGACTTCGGGGCCGAAAAGCGCCAATCAAACGCTTTTTGATGTATACGGTATGGAGCGATCTAGTAAGGCCTGCGCAGCCGCTGATATCGATGAATGACCTCAACCTTACTACGAGTACTATGCATTATACTTGGGACCGAATCGAATAATTATTCGATCATTCGAATAAATCATTCGAATGCGAATGATTCGAAAAGTCGAATATTCGAAAATTTGAGATTTCGAATAAAATTCGAAAGTCGAATATTCGTAGGTTTCAGTTTTCGAATATATTCGACAGTCGAATATTCGAAAATCTTCATTTTCGAATATTATTCGAAAGTCGAATATTCGAAAATCTTAAATTTCCAATACTATTCGATAGTCGAATATTCGATGGTCATTCATTCGATCATTCGATGTCCATCAAATATTCGAATATTCGTCGAGCACCGAATATTCGGAAATTCGATAAGAATTGACTATTCGAAAATTCGATAAGCACCGAATATTCGAGAATTTGATATGTATAGCGTATACGGGACGTCTTAAAAGTATCTACGCACCGTTTGATCGCTAATACCTCTCAAAGTCTTTTGTCAGATTCTGGGTAACATCCAGCAGGGATGGCTTTAGTTTATAAATACAGCAAAAAGCGAATCACCCATGTTTTTCTTAATGTGTATTATCACAGTAGGAAACTCCAGCTTATAGACCAACTGCAAAATAAGACATCCAAAAAATTGCTGTGCAGCAGTGTTTTTACGTATGCTGATTTTACTACGCACGAGTTTTCAAGCTTTTCAAATGGCAATCACATTTTTGAAAGGCGTCGCAAAACACTTGTTACGGTGTATCGTTTGCTCTCCAGCAAATTTTCCATAGGTACCACGTCATGTCGCTGCCTTTCGCTATTTTGAACGTGTTAACCTCGGGCTCCGTTGAAATCTCAAGAGAAACGTGTCAAAAAGAGCGAAAGGCAGCGTCGCACCACGTACGCACGCTGGCTCACATGGGAACTTCGGGGACACCGGATACCTGGCGTATGTTTTGAAAAAAAAAAGCATTACTGCTGAGTGCAAATTCTGCATAAAGTGAGTGTCTTTAGAAATCTAAAGCAAGACTTTCAGCCCTTTTGATTCTTTTTTCTTGGGGAAATGGCTCATTATGTATTGAAACCTGC